TGTAAATCATGCCTCTCATTAAGTTGTTTAGAGGAGAAGCAGGAATGAATAGAAGCTAATTTGTACACTTCCCTCTCGGTTCTGCCAACCTTGACATTCTACACCTCCTTTGACTTGATGTATATTGATCGACTTTGCATCAAATGTAGGTACCGGGAAAAATATCTAAATGTTACTTTCATGGTGTCAAGATTTGTTGCATCATTTTACTTGACTTCCACTCGGATAGTCTCAGCTTTCGAGTTAGGCACATCAAAGGATATATTTGCCATTAATTAGCAGTATTCATCTCGAAAAACTTGCCGATAAGATGTGTGGTCGTATAGTCAATATTAATAGTATATGTACGTCTTGGTGTGTACATTCCAGAGTATACGAAAATGTGCCGTTAAGATAAGTGGTTTCTGCATTGGCCGAATATTAAATATCCGCACTGATTATGTTTGTTAGAGAGCATTAACCGACTACTTAATTCGTAAAAATTTTGGCTAGTTGGCAGTCAAACAGAGCTTTGAGCTTTTAAACTCTTGGTTTCTTACATTCTTGTTTTCGCGCTAGCCTAGTCTTAGTTTGGTTTTAATTTGGACTTTATTGGCAGCTGACAAATATCTTGTAAATAAATTTCAGAATTCTATGTTCAGATGACACAAAAGCGCGTCTTAAAGATCTTTAACTAAACGGAACTAAACGCAAATTTCTCAGTGTTTGCTTTCTCTTGCCATACACACAAAATTATGTAAAATGCAACATTTTTAATTTAGATACATCTTTGAAGCAATGTTAGGCCGACCTCTTTCGCCTCTTGCCTCTACAACTGCAACAAATGTCGTCAGGCTTACGAGTCGGCCGTCTCTCTCAAGAAAGAGGGCGGCTGCTAGCAACCTTCCCCTTATTGAGGTAATTTTCCTTCTGATCCTTTGTGCTCTTGTTATGATGCAGCTTTTTCTTTTGCTAGTTAGCCATTTATATAGTAATAGTTATTGCAGATGTCTACTCGTGAACGATCCTCGTCTTCATTGTCATTGCTTTCTGATGTCTCCCAAGAATCTTCAGATGAATTGAAACGTCAGCGTTACGGAAGTGGTACTTTCACGGATGATTCTTACAATTCACCTCTTTCAGTAAGATTTATGAGTTCACCACTTCTTTTTCATAAAAAAGCCGTTTCAGACTGGGTCGGATTTTTCGTCGAGTGAGTTTCTCAGTTCATCTTGCGGGAGCGGCTGTCGTGGTCGTTTATTGGTTGGAGGAAAGAAGCGCGAAAAAATCGAGCCGTTGGTTGGTTTGCACATATTGGTATTATGATTGGTAATGTCTTATGTTTTGCATAGGTTAACAACTCGGTGATTAGCGACTATAGAATTGTTGGCGCTGGAAAGGATTCGAGAGCTGTGCACCTCCCAACAAACAAGGTCGTAAATTGTCAGGTTCGTTTCAGCCTCCTCAGAGCTTTTTTTTTGAATTCAGTATCTGGATAACCAGAGTTAATTTTCTCCCAGGTTGAGAAATGGTCACAAGAACTATTTATATCGTAGTTTAGGTGTTGACATCGCAGGAAGCTCATGTAGTTTCGCAGCTAATAGCTCGTCTTGATGAAGCGGAGAAGTATTATAAAGGACCAGATGTTAATGAGCTGAGGTGCGTATCGTTTTTAAATTTTAATAAAGGCTATTTTCTTTATCTTAGGGAGCTGGTAATGCCATCAGATTGTGAGATCGTTGAAGAGATGAGTGGACGTTTTGTAATGTTTGTACCATTGCATGATTGTTCTCTACACGCATATGCACAGAAGAAAGGGTTCCATATGACAGAAGCCGATGTTGAGCCAATTTTCAAACAGGTGTGTTTCTTCGTTGTGAATTCGATGTTACGGATGCGGAATGCGTATCCAAGTACAAGGCATTTTGCAATGAGATCATCCTAAGTTAATCGCTTTTGGTATCAAGTAAAAACTATGATCTTAACGCAGTTGAAATATTCGAAATGATTTCTATCTTTCAATGAATCTAAGTTTGTTCAACCCTATAGGTGGTGGCTAATATCTATTTTTAAGATAGTACGAATTTTGGCATTCTGTCACTCGTTGGGAATAATTGTTCGTAACCTGAAACCGCGTAAGCTCGTATTCGATCAGCAGAATCGTATACGCCTTGAAAACGTTTTGGATTGTATTGTGTGCGATGATCCGTCAGATGATCGTATGGTCGACAAATACTGCACTCCAGCATTTGCGGCTCCAGAGGTAACGTGGTTAGCATGTCTTCATATGTGGTATTATATTGAAGTTATAGGTAGTGAATCGTGCTCCAAACTTTTCTGGTAAAGCGTGTGATGTTTGGAGCCTCGGCATATTGCTGTACTTGTTATTGCTGGGTCGCTATCCTTTTTACGATGAAACCCCTGCGGGCGTATTCTCAAAAATACGTGTGGCAAAGGTAGTATTGCCTCCAGATGTGCATTTAAGCGCTGGTGGTAGGTTTATTTTTATGCTGCCCTACACGCTTATACTTTTTTATATGTAAGTTTAAGCTCGTGCTCTGATATTCGGGTTGCTGCGGCGTGACCCTGATGAGCGCCCAACCACAGCTGAATTGCGACATACACCATGGATTTGTCCGCCGAAAGTGCCTTGTAGGAGAAGAGCCACCGATCCTAGAATCAGTCCGGCACTCCATATGCGCATCGCATTAGCGGTTTGTTTTTGTGATCGTCATTCATGAAGCCTTTTTTTTTGAGTTTTACATCAGTTTTTCGTCAAAAGTCATTTCTTTTGCTACTGTGTTTCGCCCTTAGCTATTGTAACTATAGTAAATGCAATATAGGCTGCCGAAATGCTTTTTTTTTCAGCACCCTCCTTGCATTAAGGGAATAAACTACCTAATCTTTTCAATCTCGCATGTCAAATTAACAACGCGTTTCGAAGGTCACCACAGATTGAAGCAAATATATACATCTCCATTGATGTCTTTATTATTTGACTTCGGTTTTTCGTGATTGCTAGAAAATTTGAGCGTTAGTTCTTTGACTTTTTTGCAAAATGTATATGATCTATCCCCCCTTCAGAATCAAGAAAAGTCACTCGATCAAAATTGAATCTCTCAAATCAAATGATACAGGCCTAATCCATTTCGCTTTAGCAGAATTTACTGGAAGAGATGACGGAACCATTTGTGCGAGTCCCATGCTACCCTCCGCGTTCTCGATCCGTGGGTCGTACCAGTGCATTAGCGGCAACTTCTTCCCTCCCATCGTCATCTTCGACTTTGTCATCATCGTTGACTTCACCATCGACATCGAGGTCTGTACTCTCTTCGTCTGTGTTAGGCGCATTTGCAGCACCGGCCGTTCAACGAGCGCTAGATGCAGTCATATATACCGCTCGGCCCTGATCTGAGTGTAGGTTTGGCTCTGTGTGTTTTTAAGGCGGCTTAACATTGCTCAAGCAAAATTTCTCCACGCCTTGATTTTAGGTTTCATTCTTCTTGATTTCGCTCCCCTCATTTCAAATTTGTATAATGCCTATTTCATGTTGTATGTGATCAGTTCGTGTATACTACCTGAACCGTTGTAGTGGTTCTTACTACATTAAGCTTGTAAATCTAGTGACCTAGCTTTCCCTTATGTATCTGTATCGCATTGGCCTTCTCCCGTGTTCTGCGAGTGATCGAGACTTCTCTTTCAGT